GGGAGGAGGCGCGGTGTAAATCACGGGGCTGCACGGGGCCGTAAAGCATCCTTCTGCTTCTGCCCCGGCCCTCGCCGGGTTCATAGGCGGCTGGCTATCAGGAACATCGTTCCGAGCTGCCGTACGTGACATTTTAAAGGTCTTAGGTATACAATGGGATATCCTTATGGAGCAGCTAACACTATCATATAGAGTTTTTATAGGTATTTGACACCCACATAGAAAAGAATTGGGGGTTGGGGGGCGAGCTCTTAGGTAATATGCTCAGTTCTTGGCATTACCTCTAACAGTTCTGAAAGTAATAAAATTATTTTTGGAGGGGGAAATAAAATAAAATGTAAACCCCCCCCCCCCAACGTTCCAAAACTTAATACACTGTAAATGGATGTGTGCTAGCTGAGGTCCCACGAATTAATTTCTCCCTGGCTGTAAAATGCAGATCCCACTATAAAGGCACACCAAACTCTAAACGTAGTAACATAGAAACGAGTCAGTAGCAGTACCTGTCATGGATATAAATCTGAAGAATTCTTTTGAGCCACCCAGAGTACCACCTTTGAATATGGGTGCACATCGGAAATGTAAACCATACGTTATACATTCGACAGTGTTGGGAAAACTCCAGCTGAAGTGGACCTGCTGTCCCCAGCCACACACCACTATTTCTGGCACCTCACAGGTAAGGAAAGGCAGTTGGTAACCAATGCAGCCTCAGGTCTTGCTCACCGTTGGGTTTTACAGGACAGGGGTGGAAGGTGAATTGTCCTTTACCCGTTTCTCCAGTAGACTGCCCATGAGCACACTTTCCTAAACACCAACCTTCCACGCCTTTATCTTTCAACTTCATTCTTGAACAAACACACTTTAACAACGCAAGCAAAGTCCAAATCTCACTGTGTTCTTGCAAAGTCCTTTTGCAGCCCTGTGCAAAGATACTCTCTTCACCAGCCCACCTCAGCGGGCAACTAGTGGGGCTCCAGTGAGGCTGCTCTGCCTTACTCCAGCCGAGGGTCTAAACCCCCTTTTCAGCCAATTTTGTTCTCATCCTACACACTTCAGAAGAATTCACGCATGTGAGCGCCTGACTAAGGGTGCTTTAGAGCAAGAGTGGTCCCACTGAAATCAGTGCTTAAGGACTTCTGTCCACTAGTGTCTAATGCCTTGTACCACGCAGTGGGGAAAGCCAAGCGTATCCTCTTTGCCTGTGGATGCTCAGGGAGCGCAGAAGATGAGCAGCAAAGACAATGGGCCTCGTGTCTAAAGCAGAGGAGGAACAAAGGCTGCCCGTTTCTCTTCAGTGCCTTCTGCATGCTCCAGAGAAATAGAAGAGGGGACAGTAGTTTTGCCAGAACACTGGGGGACTCCAGCAGCATATGTGGAGTGCTTGGAGATCCCAGGGGAAGCAAAGAAATGCAGATGGCTGTTGCGTTATGCAGCACGGCTCCGTGTGATCTGCCAGTGATGTGACCTGCGAGGGGGTGGCAGGGCTGGAACTGGAGAGCTATTGCAACATGGCCAGTCCCTGCTCCCAGACCCTTTAGCACAGCATACGCCAACGCCAACGGCTCCTTCACAGCCCAGGGAGAGATTCCACTGCCCTCAGCTCCCCAGCACAGCCCTTTAGCTTTGTTAGTAACTGAGCATACCCATTTAACTGCAGCTACATAAAAGGTACGTTTCTCTCTCCTCTCTCTGGACTATATGTACTGATACATGTGGATTGCAGCAATACACAAGAGGCAAACCAGCTCATTTTTCTCATCTAGTTGGCTGGAATAAAAGAAAGGGAACAAAAAAAAAAAAAAAAAAAGTAGCTCCAACCAAAACAAGAGCTTTCCCAGTTCTTTATTCCAAGGCTTCCCACTCAATATATTTTTTTTCTTCAAAAGCAAAGCTTTGCAGCCAGTCTCTCCCTTGTGTATGTATCACATGTTGCTGCATGGGATATCTGGTCTGGCCACAAGGGTGAACTGCCATCTGAAAACCCCATTGTTTCAGGGCCTCACCCCAATAGAGATCTGCTGCAATCAGGGACAGAAGCCCTGGTGCCCTCCACAGAATTGAGTACAACCTAACTGGGCTGTGCAGGTGCCTGCATGGTTCTCATCGGCATGTCACCACAGGACTCTGCTGTTTTCACATTAGTGGCTGTCACTGTTCAGCAGCAGCCTCTGCTGACCCTACTGCCACCAACAGACTCTCTTGCAAAGCTCACGCTGTGCTGAGCTATGCAGGGACAGTTAGAGATGAAGCTTGTGGGGAGAGACGGAGGAAGTAAGGAGAGGAGGGAGGGAAGCCCATGTGTTGAACTTGCCTTAGAAGTCAAATTTCTTCTTCATGAGACACAGGAGATTCCTTCCCCTTCAGATTTTATGTGTGTCTGATTCTGCTAAATTCATCTGAGTACTGCTGTGACACGGGAATTAAAAGCATGGAGAGTTTGCTGCAGCTGTTGAGCCATGGACTCAGACCCGCTGCTTGTTTTTCCTTCCTATTACATGAAAGCAGGGTTCAATAAAGTTCAGATTGGAACTAAGACCTACTTTTGTGATGTCTTGACAAACCTTTCTTGAAATACTTAACATGTTAGTTGAAAGAAGCACAAAGAAACCCTGTCAACTTGTTATTTATGTTTTTTTAAATGAAACAATGAAAGGAACAACTAAGTAAGTGTGATGCCTTTCTCTAGATTGCACCATCATAGATTGATAGCTCTATGAACAGATTTGCAAGTAGCACCATCATGCTAATCAAGATATTAAAAAAGTTTATAAGCAGTTGCTTAGAAAAAACAAGATAAAGCCTATGGAAATCTGATACTGGTCAATGGTGCATTTATTCAAAACATAATACTCACTTCAAGTCTCCATAAATCCTTTGCAAATGAAACTTCCATTGTGATCACTGTTCCAGATCTAAATGATTTATTTTTTTTCTTTGGTAGACATTAGATATATCTCAGAATGTACAAGTCATGTACCTATTGATACACAGTTAATCATGCCCCCATGAGATAATAAATATTAAATTCAAATAAGATAATTCAAAGAAGGAGTATCTTTATAAGAAGAACTTTTTGATTTATTAGTGGATTAACTTACATGAAAAAACTCACATTTCTGTGTGATTTGTTTCAAAATTCAGGGCTTCCACTGTTCCAACCAGTTAGCTCTTGGGAACAGAGCAGACGTTGGATTGCATGTAGTTTCAAAACTGAGTTCTTAGCAATATTTATCTCATTGCTTCACCCCGAGCAGCACCAGCCTTTGCAATTTCTATGTGCATTTGAGGAAATGGGTTCTACTGCTTTGAGCTGCTGCTAGAAAACAAGGAATATACTGAAAGGCCAAGCAGAAGAAACCTACCAGGAAAACAGTCTGTCAGCCCATTTTCCTAACTCTGTGATCTGAGCTTCCCAATTTGTAGAAGCCTTGTGGTCTTCTCTGCCTCTGGGTTTCTGGGTTTTCATACGCTTCTCTCATAATTGTTCAAATCCAAATGGATTCTCAGTTATCAATTTACTCTCAGAACCTCTTGGCAGAAGTCAAAGTAAGTTCAGCAAATTGGTTGGATA